GCTGTACAAAGGGTAACGTTTAAACGGTCACTTTAAGACCAAGAACATCAGATTATCTCTTTGTGGGTTATCTCTATGTGTCACTAGTGCACTTATTATAGTCAGCTCTCACCCTCTCTAGCCTATATTAAAAGCAAGGCTATGACTTTTTCATTGCAATATCTCCAGCATTTAGTATTCTAGCTGACATATAGTAGGTGTTGGCACATATTTTTAAAAACTACACATTTAAAGGAAGCAAAAACATCGATTTGAACCCTGAAATATTTGGGTCATACAATGAAACTAGTTGGCTGAGATCCAAAAATAATGGACTTCTTTCTTTTTATAGGCCCATAAATATGTAGAAGTTGCAGTTACAGGCTTAGATCTCAAGAGTCAGATATGAGATGGAATTTGCAGTGCAGGGTATTTATTAGGGACTAGCAGATGTGGAAGAGAAGGGAAGAAGCTTTTTTTTTTTTTTTGAGACAGAGCCTCAAGCTGTCCCCCTGGGCAGAGTGCGTGGCACCACAGCTCACAGCAACCTCCAACTCCTGGGCTCAAGCGAGTCTCCTGCCTCCGCCTCCCAAGTAGCTGGGACCACAGGTGCCCGCCACAACGCCTGGCTATTTTTTTTGGTTGCAGCCGTCACTGTTGTTTGGCGGCCTGGGCTGGATTCAAACCTGCCACCTTGGGTGTAAGTGGCTGGCGCCTTTGCCGCTTGAGCCACAGGAGCTGAGGCAAGAAGGGAAGAAGCTTAGGTAGGAAGAGGAGTGCTCATTAGCACGTCTTCCATCAGGCCAAGATAGCCAGGCTTTTTACATTGGCCTCCATCAGTTACTGGATATGAGCCACTCTGGAAGAGGACATCCTTGGGCATGGTGACTCTGCAGCTGAGGCAGTCCCTAAATGTGTTGTCAACAAAGGAATGGGGACCTGGCTGGTGCATCCCTATGTTCACCACAGTCATCAAATTTAAAATGCTCTGCCTACTGTGTGAGAAGATAGCATTGATGTTTGAAGATACAGAATAACTTTAGTCAATGAGTCATTTAAAATTACCTTCACAGTTGAATAAAAGAAAAGTCCTGTGCTCTCACAGATTCATGATAGAATATATCAAAACATGTAATTAATATAAGGAAGACTTACAGGAAAACAAAGGGTTCTAACATTGATTTGTGGGCACGTGATGTCAATTTCTCATGAAATGCTATATTTGGCAGGTGTCTCCAGGTATCCGTTTGTTCACTGAAATACTTTATTTTATTTTATTTTATTTTATTTTTTATTAAATCATAACTGTGTACATGAATGCATTTATGGGGTACAATGTGCTCATTTGATATACAATGTGGAAAGCTTACATCAAACTTCCTAACATAACCAACACCTCACCTATTTGTTGTGGTAAGACATTTATGTTTATGGAAATACTTAATAATTTAAGTGAAGAGCTCCTCCTAGGGTGTAACGATTCAGCTACAGGCAGAATTTTTCCCACATCCAAGCCAGTCCATTGTTCTAACTCATGAATAGAACAGACAGGTTTGTTGGTCAGGATGTGCCTGTACCCTGGAGTCATAAAGAAGGTACCAGCAGCAGGAAATGGCTTCCCTTTCCGGTATAAGCCTCCCTACTCCCACCTCTTGGGCCCTACGCATTTCAAGTTTCATTTTGGGAAGCTCTCTTGCTCAAGTGTGTATGTTTCAACAGTGCCCAAAAACCTGACCAAAAGCAAACATGTGCCTTAATTCCTTCAAGGTCACTATGAGGAAATCAATTTACTCAAACAGTTCCTCAGTTATGTTGTGTATGCAGCCTCCTTTACAAAATGATGCGTTCAGTGTATTAGCAAACACTTGAGTTTAGAAGAATATCAGCCACGATTTCCTCAGAACCAAGAAAGATCGATTTATCTTTCATTTTAAGCTTCTGGAAAAAGTTTGGCATCTTATAGGTAGAAGACTTAAGGGAAAGCTAGGATTTCAAGAAGACCAACTAAGTTCATAAACCCCTCTATCTTCTAGAGTACCATAAACATATTATTATTAAATGCTCCTAAATGATGAGGGTAAAATCAGTTTACAAAAGGCTTGCCTTGACTATTATGTTTCATCATACAGTTTTCTAAGATGTGAGCTACCGAGATTTTAGTATTTTAATTTTCCTTTTCTTCATGTATAATAAATGGGGAAGGCAAGGGAACATTCCTTAGGCATTCCAGGAGTAGTGTTTTAAACTGATCAATGTTTTCATTTGGTTCTCTCTCAATCTTTAGGGGTAGGCACCAAAATAAAGCTAAATATCTTTAATTTTTTACAAGCTATGATACAAATTCCGTAGTAACTTAATATCCAACGATGTCTGAATTCTCTCAGTTCCCAGGGCTATTTTAGGTCTTCAGGGAAAATAGAGCTCTTTTTCTCCTTTCTCAGCCTTGGTATGCCCCCCATTAAACTTTTCCCTGCCTGGCCACACTCTTTACTAGTTCATTCACTGCGTTCAGCATGGAAGATCTAGAAAGAAGTGAAATAGTGGGCGGGGGAAGAGAAAGGAAGCACCCAGAGCTGTGGGGAGCAGGAAGCCTGAGTTCTAGTTCCAAATCCAAGACTGTGTGTGACTTTGAGCAAGTTCCTGGATTTCTGCAGGCCTACACTTGCTTGTTTGTTTAAGGAGAGAAGAGAGTAGATGCTTTCTAATTCTTCTCCCAAACCCACTGTCCTGTGATTCTCTAATGCTCCAAGCATATTATGCTCATTTTTATGGAGGAAGCTTTGACAACAGACCATGTAATAAGATCTGAAGGGGCTATTTGCTATGGCTTCCAGAGAATTTGGAAGATATGAGTCATAGAACTTCCCTCTTGAGTCCCAAATTGGTAGGAAGGAAACAAAGACTGGAATTTGGGGTGCATATTCTAGATTCTCAAAGCAAACTGAATTTTCTTTTTTGCAGTTTTTGGCCAGAGCTGGGTTTGAACCCACCACCTCCAGCACATGGGGCCAGTGCCCTACTCCTTTGAGCCACAGGCGCCACCCCCAAACTGAATTTTCAAAGCCAAGAAAAGATATTTTAAGGCTAGAAGTGGTATTTTCACTTTGTGATTAGAACATGAAAGAACAGCCATAAATGTGTTAAGAATTATAACTTTTAATTTTCAATATTAAATTTAATTATTCTTATGATAAAATTTATCTTTGTATAATGGTCCAAATTACCATTTCATATTTGCCTTCCAAATGGAGAGAACCTCCAGTTTAGTGGACTGCTTGGTTCTGTCACCATGAAGGTTAAGATCAAGGTCACAATTTAATAGTATTAGTTTCACTCTGTTTCAGAGCCATGAATACAAATTTCACCCTGCTGGCTTTCTAAAAAATATATGAAAACTGCTCCAAAGAGTGTACAAAATCATTATCTCTACAGTACAAGTAATTCACAGGTTGGCTGTCCTAACAGTCAGGGAAGGGTACCATCACCTCTGGTTAACCAAGACAGCATGGTGTCAGGATTGTCCTGGAAACTTAGTTGCCAAGTCTGGGTTAGTATTGAGATGCCTAAAGTGGACATAAATAGCCCTATGCTAACATAATTAGTATTCTCATAACCTTCAGTATCACTGGATCTGGAGCACTAGGCAGTCAATGGCACAGACACCATTGTTTGTGAACTATTTGTCCTCCTACTGGTTCATCAGACTTCACTTATGAATATTTATCATATTTTCTTTTGAGAAAAGTGAAGAGATTAAAAAGGAGGTAACTTCTCTATTTTATTCCAAACCAGCTAAGGAATCCAGAAGGCATTAGATTTTGTGTTCCTTTAATAGCTAAATCCTGAGACTAATAGTCAATTTTCATAAACCCCCACCACCCTAGTACATTGATTTCAAAAAAATGCCACCACTGTGTGTTCTAGAACCCCACCTCCCTCTTCTTTTGGACCCTTTCCTTATATCACAGGAAATGCTCAAGCACTAGCTACACGTATCTTATAGTCTATATCATGGTAGGCTATTGGAGAGGAAAAAAAATACTTACACAGTCAAAACTTTGAAGATCCTCTGTTTTTATTTCAAAACATGGGAATAACTCAAAATTTGAGCCTCAAGAACCAAAACATATTTGAACCAAATGTTCAGAAGATGAGCCAGGCCATTGTTTTGGCAACAAGCTTCACATGGACATATGGATATTAGAGAATGATGCCCGCGACACAGCTAAAGCATTTGCATGCATGAGTATGGTACATTCTCCATGCCACTAATATATATATGCCTTTTCCAAAGTCAGTGCAGGATCCGTATTTGTGCAAGTCTTTAAAAGTCTCCTCCCTTACAAAATTTTGCCATAATTTATCTGAGACAGCCTTCCGGTGATAAATTCTTTATACCACCTTTACTTCCCCAAAGTCATTTCTGAATAGTAATTATAGCTGTCAAGAGTTCCAGTATCATAGAAGAGAATCCGTTTGTTAGTTATTTTAATGTCAGTTAGCTGGCTGTAAGTAAACCTGGCTACACATATCCACATGCTTGGTATCTGGAATTTAAAAATGGGAACCTTTAGCAGGGATGGCAACCTTAGACCAAAAGGACAAAAACCCAACAACAGAAGATGTCCCAAAATGAATTGGGGCTTTCCTGTTTTCCAAAGCGAATTCTTAACAGCGACAGGCAGACACACTTTTGCATGGGGCCCACTTTTTCCCACTAATGCTGAATTATTGGAAACCCAAACAGCATTCAGAGCCAAGGGGGAAAATGCCTGAATCTGAAAAGGAACCAAAAGAAATTGTACCAGGGAAAAAAGATGGGAACTGAAAACAAGTTCCCAGAGTATCTCTCTCTGTCAACAAGCATGTAGAGTCTTTATTGCTAGAATATGCAGAGTCCCGTGGGAATTGCTGCATCTTTTTTTTTTCTTTGTCTTAACTCTTTTCTTGCTACTCTTTCGCTGGCTGGTTGATCTGCGTCTGTGGTTGTCCCATCTTGAAGCCACCCTCAGCAGCCGGACTCAGGAGCTACATTCCTCACAGTGACAGGAGAGGATGTACCGGTAGGTGGCAGTGAGTCGCATGCCCCCTGAGCATCGCAGGCGCAATGCTTTCAGCTTGGAGGTCTGGGGGCGGCAGCAGTGACAGGAGGAACGGAAGGGTTGCTTGAGGACAGTGCTGAAGGATACCAAGGGCTCAGAGCGTGAGGCTTGGCTGCAGTGTCCTTCACACCTGGCCAGGAGCACCATCTGGGGAGAGAAGAGGAGGTAGTGACCATGCAAAGATGCCAAAAACCTGAGCTAGCTACCATAGCAACCTTTTTTTTTTTTGCAGTTTTTGGCCGGGGCTGGGTTTGAACCTGCCACCTCCAGCATATGGGGCCAGCGCCCTACTCCTTTGAGCCACAGGCGCCACCCTCTATAGCATCCTTTGAAAGGCCCACACACTTCTTGCCAATTCCTGCTGGATCAGACCAATGGCTCTCAGCACTGGTTGCTTATTGGAATCACCTGGTCAACTTTAAAAACACTTCAATACCCAGGGCCCATTTCAGGCTAATTGATTTAAAATCTTTGGAGGTAGAGCCAGGTTTTTTTGATTTTCAAAGCTTCTTAGGTGATTTCAAAGCACACATGTAATGAGGGTTTAGAAGCACTGGATGAGGCTTATCACCATTCTGTGCAACTAAAAATCAAAGAACAACAACAAAAATATTTCTCCTGATACGTGTCAGTCTACCCCTGGTCCAGTGCATTACAACTCTATCAGTAACAACATGCAGAAAGTCATTCCAAATTGAAATCAAAGAGTAAATAAAGAATGGCCATAGGAGAAAGGAATTGGTTTGTATAGGGAATAGCTAAAGAACAGGGATACAGTTTCTGAAGGAGGGATAACCTCAATGAAATGTTCTAGATGCTGCAACTTGGGACAAAAGTATGACATTTCTTGGTTTGTACAGTGAAGGGGCATGAGATCTGTGCAATCACACCTTAATCTTCAGAGTCATTTAGGGCAAATACTAGGATACACTTATTCTGATCATCTCCATTTCCAAAGATTTTGGCTGGGGTCAAAGAGGTTGTATGTTCTTTACATTGGCTCTTAACTTAGCTTTAGTAAACAGATAATTTTAAGAATCTCACGAAAACTGATAAAGTTATGATCAGAAACAAGTACATAAGCACATACTCAATTTTTTGCATACAGCCTAAGGGAATGGAAAAAAAGGCTTATTATGTATCCCATACATAAATCCTGGTATCCTGGAAGTGGAAGTCATGGATGGGGTAGGGTGAACCAGCTTGATTCATAAACTACATAACCCCATATGCTACAATAGAGAGGGGGTTGCAGGACCTGAGATTAGAGGTCCGTGTTTATGTAGGGGGGGTCTTGCTTGGTGAATTTTATTTTAAATGATGGAGGAAAAGTTGTCTATAATTCGAGAGCCAACAGCAGGGCCATACAAAGTGCAACTATTCAAATGAAAGATTAAACAATACATATATATGCATGAAACCTTTTGACATTTGCCTTATGATATTTTGGGAACTAGCAGTTATTATTAAAGACTCATCAGCCATTATTTCTGACATCATCCTGTGGGGCAGAGTTAAACACCTGAGGATTAAAAGGAAATGGCTAATCCATCTTCCCAAAAGGGAGAAAGGTAACTTCTGGTAATTATAGATCATTAACATCATTATGTGAGAAGATGCTGTGGGTAAATCCAAAAGTTACTTAGCAACCAGCAAGGCAATATGAAATGCTAGAGTAAAAACAGCAGGGCTTGAGGAAGAATAAGTTGGACTGGACCAACTAATTAATTTTCTCTGAAAGCAAAGAGCAAATGGCATCTATTAGGTCTTTTGATTTTATTAAAGATTTTTATTCTACTCTTCGGATTGATAGGCAAAATAAACATATCTGAAACAGGTTTTTGGTTTGTTTGTTGTTTTCAGAGAGGGGATCTTGCTATGTTGCTCAGGCCAGAGTACAGTGACCATTCACAAACATGATCATGGCTCACTGCAACCTTAAACCTTAGCACTCAAGGGATCCTCTTATTTCAGCCTCCTGAGTAGCTGGGACTACAGGCATTCCCACTGCACCCAGCTCTGGAACAGACTATGAGAGATTATGCCGTAGGTCCCTGGTGCCCACCCCATCTCTCTAATGAGAAAGAGTCCGTGATTTTCCCTAGTCCTTTCTTTGACACCTGCCAGTATGTGGGAAGAACTGCTTCACATCTCACCTTGAGTAGCATTAAATTTTCTGATTTCTAATTTAAATCACCTATTAGGTTGTTTCAGAAGTTATTCAGAGTTACCTTCCCAAACAGAGTCTTTATTGACCCTGTTTCAGTCTGGGTGGATATAGCAATCCGGTACCAACAGACTTAATTCGGAATGGCTAAAGACGATGTGGGGCATCAAATCCAAATGATACATGTGCAGGTGAACTAAACATACACTGAACTGACCAGGCTACTAGCACTGGCTATAAAAGGACCAAGTCAGCAGTGTAGGGCCATTTGTAGACCAGCTAACCTGATTATGATTTCACTAAAAGTTTCAGGATATCAAGCTCTATCCCAGCCCTCACTGAATGACAAGAATTCTAGCATGGGAGGAGCTGGGGCCAACTCCAAGGGAAGAGAACTAAGCTCCTCTTTCTCAAGAACTGGACTTTCCGCACAAGAAGAATGTGTAAACATGTACAATGAACACCTTCAGTGGCTGCCTCGGTTGTCAGAATAAAATCCTTCATTTTGAACAGATGTCAAGGCTTCATGACCCAGGATTCACATATCTTTCCAGTCTTATTTGCAACTGTTCTTATCACCCACTGCCTACTCCGATCAAGCTTTACTTAGGAGTCTATGAAACTGCCCCCAATTCCCCTGCCTCTTGCCTTGGCTTGTGTCTTCTCTCACCCAGGAATGTCCTTTCCACCTGCCTAACAAAATCCTATTTACTATGTGGCCAAATTTAAAGTCCTCCTTCTCAAAGAAGAGCCTATGAAATAATTATTGGATTCTTGATGTTCTCAACACACATACACATCTATGCACACACCTTCGTTGTGGGATACCTAAGTATATAGATCCTAGATCAAAGCTGAAAGAGGTAGGACATCTACCTCTGTTTTGTGTGTGTGTGTGTGTTTTAGAGGTAAAACAGCATTTTGGAAGATAAGATCCACAAATATGTGTCTTTAAGGAGTGAAGAGATAATCATCTGCTCTGGGTTTACTCTCAATAGCCCACATTTTAGCCTTTGTCACACCTCATCTGTCTTTTTTACTAAACATTTTCTGGCCTCTTCCAAACAAGAGCTTCTCAAACAGGAATGTGCAATTGAAACAGCCAGGATCTTTTTAAAAGGCAGGTTCTGAATAATTCTAGAGTAGCACACGAGATTCTGCATTTCTCATAAGATTCTAGTTGATATTGGTATTGCTGGGTACCCACATGTTGAGTAGCAAGGCTCTGGACCCATTAAAGTTTGAGGGCTCAGCTTAAGGTTGAGGATCACTAGATAGCCATCATTTTCCTAACAGGAACATATATGGAGTGCTTACAAGTTGTCTCATTTAATCCTCAACAACAGTACAAGAAAGGTACTATTATGATCAGTACTGTTACAACAGATGAGAAAACTTGGGCTTTAGAGAGTTCCAGTAATTTGCTCAAACTCAAATTTCTGGTAAAAGGCACAGCTGGAACCAAACCCAGGTATGTCTGAAACTAACCCCCTGACCCAAACAGCTATAATACCTGCCTCCTAACACTGAGATGTTTTAAGGAGGCGTGAGCCAATTCATACCTTTCCCTTACCTATACTGACGTGTCCCTGGGACCCCTGACCATGTCATTGCCATAGACATATAAGCCAAGTCTAACCTTTTTCTTATGGGTGTCTTGGGAAATAACATCACTACCCTCAAGCTCATGCAGAGCTGAATCTTCTAAGAGCCTGACTGATCAGGTGTGTCCATTAGCATCATAACAGGGACCCTCCTGTCCCATCCTAGAACAGTGTTTTGGCTATTTTACCCCCAACTGGGTGGGAAACATATTTTGCCTTTTCATGGCACTGAATACTGTGTACCTCTATTTCTGTGGCCCTTGAAGCACCCTTTTTCTCATCAGGAGTGAGACCCACCCATGCTGTTTCTCCCATTCCTTTAGCCACAAGCAACCTCAGTAAACAACTGCTCATTGCATCTTTGGGTACCCAGTTCAACCTCCAAAGGGTCTGTGTCAGACTGAAGGCACCAACAAAATTACAATAAGGGGAACAGAGCAGCATGGGCGGGGCTTGGGGGAGTGGAGGCTTTGAAGAAGTGAGTGGGCAGCTTACTCTCCAACTAGAATCTGGTCCCATCACCTGGGTCACAAAGTAACACTACGTGGCCTGTGTACACTGCACACCACCCTTCCCTCTCCCCCTTGTTTACTTGCAAGCATTTTGAGGGCAAAAACTTTGTCTTTTTTTTCTTTCTTTCTACTTTAGAGTCTTCAGCACCTTCTGCAGCATGTCCACCCAGCAGGCACTGAGTTTAAGCAAGAATCAAGTTATGTGTCTCACGCAGTCAATTGTGTTATAATCATGACAGTCCTGACTCCTGTCACTTTTCCTATCACACTATGAGCTTAGTGGGCAGCTATAGTTGGCCTGAGAGTCCTAACAGCTTCCTCTCAACTCCAAGACTCAGACCTTACCATGTCAGTCCCTTTTCCTCTGGGAGTTTTCCTGGGCTTTATCCTCTGAACCCTCCTCCTTCTCCTTTGCCCAGGGCCATCTGCTCCCATGGCCCTGAAGAGTTCAGAAAACTGTGCCCTGGTTCCATACCCTGGCCTGGGACCACTATCTATCTCCCACTCTTCATTCAGCTCAGCCATCACAGGTCTGCCCTGCCAACCCTATTCCTGAAAACCCCTCTCTGGCCTGGAATCCCAAACTCACCCTTTTTACGCTCTCCTTCCTCCACTCACCTGGGAAGGAAGGTCAGCCCAGACAGCAGAGGCTGTTTCTCTTTTACTTTTATCCTTCCTCTTAGCACCCAGCACAGCGGCTTATATTCCCTTTGCTCTTCTGCCCCACCCTGTGTTTAACAAGAACCACAGTGAAGTTCAGTTTCCTAATCCTTTAAGACTATAGGAGATCCCAGCAGTTATTGAGGTCTCAGTAGTGACTGAAATAGAAAAGCAAGTCTAAACACCTGTCCAGTTTATAACCTCACCATTAAGATCATAATATCATTTATTAAATGTCTTATTATATGCTGGACACTGTCCTGACGAATATTATCAGCAACACCCATACCCACACCCTCAGGTGGACAGCTCCATTTTGCATGGGAAGAAATTGAGGCACCAAATGCAGAAAAGAAATTAAAAACCAAGTGGCTTTCACTTCAAAGCCATTGATACCTGAGTTACCAGTACCTTAAAGATTCTTCAGGCAGCCCATTCCCACTAACCACTGACCTTTTGCCTATTTGCTGTACAGCCTTTACTTAGAATTTCAGAGAAACATGGTCTTCCATGAAGATTATGAATGAACTTGCCACTCCCAGGATCCTTTGTGCCCAGGAGGTACCACCCCTTAATTCTACCAGGTACATCCTAATCTGTGGCACATTCCTGGATGAGCCTTGTGGCCAGTTTTTCCTGCCTGATTCCATCTCAGCCCTTTCCTGAATTGCTAGGAGATGGGTGACAGGATCCTGGGACTGTCCAGCTGCAAGTTCAGAGCTAGGATGGACAAGTTGTCTCACTGAAGGCTCTTAGAAAAGTTTTCAGTACTATTTCTTTGTTCTAGAAAAAACTGCTGAGTATAAATCATTATTGCTGGCTGATCAGAAGTTGAGCCCGGACTTCCAAACAATGGCTCCTACATTCTGCTTGTGTTCCTCTATGTAGTGGAAAGATGAATGTCCTGAGGCAGACATTGCCAGTCCCTGGTTATATATGACATCAAGCAGCCTACTTCTGTCAGGTTTCACTTTTCCTTAATGGTAGAATGGGCATGACAACACATGCCATCACAGATTTGTTTGCAATAACTAGAACATAACAGTACTGGTATAGAATGAGGTACCCAACACATATGAGGTGTTCAAGCAAGTGCTCTTCTTTCCCTGAACCTGGGTTACATGGTCCTCTTCATCTGTCTTTACAAGGCCAGGTGCTAGATAAACATGAGTTAAGCTCTGGCAACTTACAGGTAAACATAGGCATGTGTCTAGTAACAGCTCTTGAACATGATGTTGAAGGAGAATTTTTGTGAAGAAGAAAAATCTACCCTAAATGTCTTCTTTGTAAAAGAGACTAGGGTTGATTGCTCTTTTTTCTAGATACAGGCTAAATGTTTTATCTTAAGTTTCTTTTTTCTTTCTTTATTTTTTTTTAAGAGCCAGAGTCTCACTTTGTTGCCCTCAGTAGAGTACTGTGGCGTCACAGCTCACAGCAATACCCAGCTCTTGGGCTTAGGTGATTCTCTTGCCTCAGCCTCCCGAGGAGCTGAGACTACAGGTGCCCACCACAACGCCTGGCTATTTTTTTGTTGCAGTTAGGCTGGGGCCGGTTCGAATTCACCACCCTCGGTATACAGGGCCTGCGTCCTACTCACTGAGCCACAGGCGCCACCCTATCCCAAATTTCTGAAGGCACACAATTTCATTAAGACAGACCCACTTGGGAGAAGGTCAGCCTGAGCTTGTGAGAGCCAAGAATTATAGAATCTTTCCAAATGAAAAACAGTTTTGTTCCTGGATACACAGAGAAAAATCTAATCCAGAAAATATCTGGGTAGTTGGGGTTTTTCCAGACATATTTTATGACCAAAGAAGAAAGGTTTATAATTGCAAGTACCATGTACATAAAATTATTGCTATATTTGGGATCATTTGGGATATTTGAAAACAAACTGTTCCCATGAAATTACAAAAATTTCTCCTACATCACAATTTTGTGTTGTTATTTACCGTGGCATTCTGGAAAAAACAAAAGTGACCAATGTTACACTGAAGTCTGTTTCTAACGTTCATGCTCAAGCACCGTGAGTTTGTCGGGCTTCAGATAATGAAGTCTCTTCTTTGATCCTCCCTAGGTTAATGTGAGAATTGCTAAGACATTCCTTCAGCATTCCATCCACACTTTCTAGATTGTTTTCTGATTTTTACAGATGCTACTATTCCTTTCTATCATCACAGTGACACTTTCTTTGACAAAATTTTAACCCCTTCCTTTTTTTTTTTTTTTAAGAATCATGTTTATGGAGGACAACTCACCAAAGCAGAGAAATTATCCAGGGACTAAGAAACAGCACTAAATATTAGTGCTGTTTGTTTCTGAAGAGGGGAAAGAAAGAGAAGCTAGTAATTGCTATAGTCAACCTTACTTGGGCTTACAGTTTCTGAGCAATTACAGCCATAAAAACACTCCTCATATATATATATATATATTTTTTTTTTAAATTTGTTGTAATTTTCTTTTCCTAGGAAAGGATTGTAGGCCTGTAGAAATTTACATTCATCTATTTACTTCTTTTTTTGGTTCTACAAGTACAAATAAGAGACAAAATTTTTCTTAAGTGGAAAATCTCTGATTTTTCCCACAGTCATAGGTCTTGTTAATGTAATGGTTAAAGTGATTTAACTCAAATTCTAATTCCCCCAGACCTAAACAAGTCATCATCATTGAGCTATAATCAGAGAAGTTAATGGAAATTTTAAAGGCAGACAGAAGTCATAATGTTTTTAAATAGAGAGTGGAGAAATGGACTTATATGGTCTTAATTCTAGTGGTTGATATTATAAAAAAAGTCTTGATTATACTGGTAATTTAAAAAATACTTTTCATGTGAGAATATTTAAGTGCTTTTAGTCTTAAGACTATAAGTGAACATCTCTGAAGTTGGGCTAAAAAAATTCTCATTCACCAAATGTAGACAAATTTCATTCACGTGCCTGTCTGGGGTCAATGATAGTCATGAGAATTCATTCAGAATATGTTCTTCCTTACAATGTGGTCCATGTGGCTGGCCACTCTTGGTGGCCTTTTAAGCATGATATTCCTTTGCACGCCAGTTGAGCATGGGTTTCCTCTGCAAGAAAAATGTAACCTATTCCAAACAAAAATAATTTGGATAACCAATGTAAAATGATAAATTATCAAGTTTTCATCGTATCTTTTGAGATCATTTTCACATAAACATGGCACGTGGAGAAAGGCTCAGAACAGAAAGCCAGTTACCATATATTTCACTAGAAAACTCGATGGAGATCCCTCCAAGAAGTAGGTTCCTATGCTCAATCATATTTTATTTTCATTCTTTTCCTTTTTATTGCTGGTGGAAGTAGAAGGAGTTATGACAGCATTTTTCTTTCATGAATAAGGACAGTACCACTCATAAATTTCACAGCCAGGAACAAAAGACACAAGATGAGTGTGGACATGGTTGATTAGCCAGTTTTACTGACAAAAGTGCTAAGTATAGTAGGAAATCCTAAATGCCTGATTCTCCCACAAGCTCTGTGGGCCAGCCACATAGCTCAAGGTTGAGTTAGGATCATAGTTCTCCTTGAATCCCCTGACAAAGAAATATGGCTTCTTTCTTGTGTTGAAGGGGAAGGTGATGCTCCCCCACAGAGACCTTGGTCTTACCTTTGAGCTACACTTGTACAATGGGTGACTGATAGAATCCACATAGTGGTGCCTCATGCAGCGTCGAGGGTCCGAGTCCATCATAAATGAGCTGTCCCTTTTGCTGTCTGTATCTCCCATTATCACCAACAGGGAGAGCATAGAAAAGGATGCAGCTAGTACATGATTTCTCATTGTTGTAAGGGAAAACTTCTCCAGAAGAACAGTAGAGGGAGGCAGAGGACAAAAATTTGGAAATACCGTCACCTCCTAGGATCCAGTTCCTTTCAAGGAAAGGGCAGGATCTGGCTGAAGCTTTCTGGTTGTCATTGTCCTTTGTATGTCTGAGTTTTGTCTTACTCTTTGCACTTGCAATCCATCATCACAGTATCTGCAGCACAGCTGGAATGAAAACAGAAATTATTTTCCCCAGAAATATTTACCCAGAACCACTAATGGAACCCAGGAGGGATTGAGTGGAATTTTTCCATGTCATTTTGAGTGGAGAATATTGGTTTCTAGAGTGTCATTAGCATAAGCTGTCATCCATTCCACACACCCCCAGCTTATACTACATATTTATAACCATTTGGAAGTGGACGTAATGGTTTAATGGAAGCACATGTTTACTTTAATTGCTGGAGTCCATGTTCCTAGGGGCAAAAATAGTTTGAACTCATAGTAAAGATTAAACATGTGGTTCTGGTGACAGCATAACTGAATTGGGTGGTCTCATCTTTATCCTTGGTGGGTAGGGGCAAAAGGGTCTATTCGGTTTCTTAATAAGCTTTGGTGTCAATGTCAGCTTACAGGGTGAGAAAGGAGGCAGATCAGTGGTAATGAACACAGGCCACATCCCATGAGGAAGCACATTTTCCATTTCCAAGTCCATACCCACCTACCCACCTAGTTTTCCACTTTGGTGTGCTGAGCTTATCCTGTTTTTGTTTTAAGTCCGGTGCCACCTAGCATCAGTGACAAACTGCATCTGAAATACACAGTATGATAACTGGCCTCCAGCATGGTTAAGTTAGCACACATGTATTTGCTAACAGAATCACACATTTCTGTAGAGCCTTTGTAGCCTGGGCACAGACTTACCATTAAAATGGGATCGTATTATACAGCTTTTATTAAAATTTGCTTTGTTCTTTTAATCATACCTCTTGGATAAAGGGCTAGAGTCCAGAGATCTTCCCAAATCAAATCACTAACCCCACTAGGCATGGCCAACCTCAATGCTTTTTAGCACAGCAGAAGACAGAGTACATCCAAAATATTTCCACACCATTAGGAAAATTGTGGAGAGCTGACATTACATCCAAAACAAAACCAATGTGATAATTCAAGCTTCAGAAAAACTTTCAAGGGCATTTTAGATAAAGTTTGATCATTTTGTTCACAGTACATTTTTAAACTTCCTACTTATGCATGTTCTGAATAAACAGGAAAAAGTGTTGATAAAATCAAGATTAGAAGTTCAAGTCGGTATAAGCCAATTTGTTTTGCCCCAGTAGAATAGCCTCAGACCCACTTAGCCTCAATCAGCTATCTTGCAAGTATGGGGCAGGGGTTCCTAAGTGGAAAGGGATGTGTAAGGTAGGGCTACTTCAGAGCAGGGCGTTATTGGCAATGGCAAAACCTCAGTACATGTGTTTCAAGAAAGTCCAAGAAATTTCAGGAAGGGCAGGGACCAGTAATCAGGGGACCTACCTGGTCTTGATTCCTGCCATTTATTAGCTGAGAACCTTACCCAAGTCATTTAAACTCTTTCAGCCCCAATTTCCTCATCTGTAGAGTAGATGAGTTATCAGAGATGGCATCTGCTATTCCCTCTTGTTTAAAATGCCACTATGTGATAGCTATGGATTCAGTTGCCATGATTTCCACATGCAAAAGGTAATCTTAAGGTTGAGGAGCCTGTATTTCCATACAACTACATACCATTTTCCTTTATGTGTATGCTAATGCAATATCTTATAAAAATGGATCAAACCTGTGTCCAGTGTTCCAAGTCAGCAAAGGGTGCAGAAAAGCATATTTTGCTTTCTTTTCAGTGGCATATTCTAGGTTTCTCTTGTACATATTGCCCCGAAACTCACCAACATTTCAGCTCAAAGAGTGAGAACTTTCTTGGAGTCTATGTTCATGAGATGCAATATTGCTGACTATTTCATGAGTTTTAATCTGACTAAATTATCCAAAGTGGTTATCTGACTCTTTGAAGCCTTAAATTAGCCTCAGAAAGAGAACTGATTGGATTTTTCCTTCCATTGCTCCCATCTACAGATATTTTCCCCAAGAGTCAATGGTCAAAAGATGAAGGGAAAAGCAAACATCCTGGTCCTGGCCCTCCTTTTCCACTGCCAGCAGCTTCTCTTCAAAGCCATGGCCAGGAGGCATGGTAAATAAGTGAATAAAATTAAAACAAAAATGTATAGCCTGATGACAAAGATAAGCTACAACATCAACAACAAAATCCTACACATATGTATGTATGGTTGTATTAACATTTCCACTTTCTCCACAGGAAAAAAAATATGATGCCCCTTAAACATGGAAGATAGGCACCCTCACTCATTTAAGAGAGATAAAAAATAAAAGTATACTGAGATACTTTGCTCAACCAATCAGATTTACAAAGATTCCAAAGTCTAATCATGCACCCTATTGGCAAGGCTATGGAAAAACAGGCCCATTTTGGAGCTAGTTCAATATAAATTGGTCCAAACTTGGTAGAGGCCAACTTGGCAATATCTTTAAAAATGTAAATGTATGTAATTTAGACCCAGTAATTTCACTTCTGCGAATTATCCTGTATGTGAAATCACATGAGAACATGATGGTAATAAGCGTAGCATAAAATTTGAAGCAGAACAAAATACCTATCAATAGTGGACTGATTATATTTTATACAGATTTATATAATGAAATACTGGGCAACTATATAAAAAAAGATGAAGAAACTCTATGTACAGATTTCTGTTAAAATGAGGAGGGACAAGAATATATATTTGTATTTGCACAGAGAAGCCCTGGAAGGATATCCAAGAAACTAATAAAATTAGTTACCTGTGGGAGTTGTGGGGGATGCATGGGAGAAAGACGTTTCACTGTATACCTTTTTGTAGTTATAGACCTTTGAACCTGTGAGTGTGTTACTTATTTAAAAATTTATATAAAAAACAATGCTTTCTCTTTTAAAAACTCAGCTTAAAACCAGTAACTTGTTGGACACAGTGGCTCACACCTATAATCCAAGTGATTTGGGAGGCTGAGATAGGAGGCTTACTTGAGGCCAGGAGTTTATGACCATCCTGGGCAACATAGTGAGATCTAGTCTCTGAAAAATAAAACCAATAACAAAAACTAGCTGGGAACAATGGCACACACACACTTAGTCCCATTTACTGAGGAGGATCACTTGAGCCCAGGAGTTCAAGGCTACAGTAAGCTATGATCAAGCCACTGCCCTCCAGATTGTGCAACAGAGCAAGATCTTGTATCTAAAAAAAAAAAAAAAAGAAGTGTCCTTATAATGGACTAAAAGGCCCTATGTTATCTGATCCCTCATTCCCTCTCCACTAACCCCCCCCAAACAAAAAAAGCACTAGTAGCTAAGTTAATGGATGTTTAATGTTTTTCCCAGTTTATTTTAATGATATTATATTTTTGATTCTTATAATATGGGAAGACACAGGAAATAAAAATACTTTTAGTTCTTGTACATTACTGCCACCTAGTAGCCCCATCTTGAATTGCAATCATAGTTAATTTTTTTTTCCTGAAAAGTGAATAAAACATTTTTGCAAGCCAATATTGTAAAGTTGATATGGATCAAGAGATAGGTAATGTTAGCTGCAATGTAATTTTATAATATGTTTTTCCTGTTAGAGATGATAAGCTGAACCTAGAAGTAGCAATAAAGAATAAAAGAGAGGAAATGTTGCTACACCACTGATTCTAAGAAACAGATTTATGATTTCAACATACTCATACAGCACTATACTTTTTGACCAGCATTTATCTTAAACTCTGAATTAAGAATGAATATCACAATGTAAATAGGCCACAGAAATTGCAGAACCTTCAAAATAAAAAGATAAGACTCTTGTAACATAACATCTTAAGTGTTCAAACTTAATGAACCAACATTGTTGCATTGATGAAGAAATAAAAATAAAACTCAAGAAATGAACAATGTTAGGGTGAGGTGTCTTAACACTGTATTGCTCTGGGTGTACATAGCTGAAAATATGCAGAGTGAGGTTATAGAGCAGGGGTGAGACCTCATTAAAAAAGAAAATCAGGAATTAAGAAAATTTACACCAGTTAGGTGCCTGTAGCACAGTGGTTATGGTATCAGCCACATTCACTGAGACTTTGAGGGTTCGAGCCCAGCCCAGGTCAACAACAATGACAACTGCAACAAGAAAATAGCCAGGCATTGTGGCGGGCACCTGTAATCCCAGCTACTTGGGAGGCAAAGGCAAGAGAATCACTTAAGCCCAAGAATTTGAGGTTGCTGTGAGCTGTGATGCCATACATAGTACTCTACTGAGGGTGACATAGTGAGACTTTGTCTCAAAAAAAAAAAAAAAAAAGAAAGAAAGGAAGAAAGAAAAAGAAAAAGAAAATTTACAGCACCAAGATCCTCACTTTCAGGCAGCCTAGGAGTATCTCTACTTTGTAAGGGCTTCTGACATTTTCTCAAAACTAAGTTAATTCTAGTTTGCCTTAATGTTTTAAAGCCATGTGTCATAAAATCAAATGCTGCCTAACTTAATGCTGACTTAATGTAGGCAATAACGAATTGAATAAGAATGACTCTTTTACTGAACTCACTAGTCCTGTGGCCACTCTATCCTGTGGTATAGTCTCTGAAATATGGACTTGGCCAATGTACAGAGACCACATTCTAATAGCTCCAATGTGGAGCCTCTGCCGGCAGAAGAGGCATGTAGGCTGGCATGCCCAACTTTGGAGCTACCCTCCAAATGATACCAGTGGAAAAGAACAACTGGTGCCCAGATTTCCCCACCTGTCACCCTCAGCGAAATAATATAGCAGAGCTTACAGCAGGCCCAGCCTCCTGGGTGAGACATGGTGTTGTGCCCACAGATCTGCTCACTCTTGGCCTGACCTTCTGCCTAGCAGAGGGTAAAGTATTGGTTTCATGCAATTTATTCCAGCAACAGGCCGAGACAAGTGGAATGTGCCAAGAATGGCCATCGTCTTGGCCTGCTTGCCAGGCACAGGAGGGTGGCTCTTTTGGTCCATATTCCTCCCCCCAACTTTAGCTGTTCTTAATACTAATATATGCAGATATTCACTCCTGTGGCTTCTTTCAATGAGTATTTTTTAAACATATATTCATTGAGGACTCACTATATGTCTCCTTT